AAGAAAGGATAATTACAGACCGGGTTTGAAATATAGCTGATGGCACTGACCTCCTTCCCTGGACCATCAATAAATACCTCTCTGCTGAAACACCAGGAAATTGAAGCAGCTGAACTCTGCAGCACCTCCTCAGTGAAAAAGGGCTTTTAAAGTGATGGTAGGAGCAGTCGCCTCTGGCTCACACCCACATGCAGATACTTCTTTATATATGTATCTCCGTCTTATAATTTACATCAGAGACATTCAAACGAAGGTTAGATTAGTTCACTGAAAGCTCTTCCTGAAAGACAGCAGTAATCCCTCACCTTTCTGGAGCACCTTTCGTCAGGGGCTACGCGCAAACATCCATCAGCCAGAGCTTCCCACCGCTGCCTGCCCAGAGCGGGGCAGAGCTGCAGGAACAGCCGATCTGCTGGAGGGAACAAAACCTGGGGGGGGGCTCGGGGCTGTCATCACTGGACCTGCAATATCATGGAAGCAACCCTCAGCAGCTGCAGCCAGGAGCAGCCCCCCCCCCCCCCGCCCCCGCGGGGGGGGGCGGCCCCCCCCCCCCAGCCGATCTGCTGCAGGGAACAAAACCTGGGGGGGGGCTCGGGGCTGTCATCACTGGACCTGCAATATCATGGAAGCAAACCTCAGCAGCTGCAGCCAGGAGCAGCCGAAATAGGTTTGCACGGTGCAGGCATCCCTTTTGCAGGGCAGCATGACACAGGCCTCCCGCAGCCTTTTTTTGGGCTGCCCTGGATCTGCAGCGATGCCCAACGTGGCCGAGCTGACCGACGCGTGGCCCTGGAGCGGGACCGGGGGGCTGAGATGCTTTTGGGGTGGCCGGAGACAGCGCTGTGCCCGAAGATGAGAGATTGCTTTGTCCCAGGTAGTCTCCTAAAAGGATTAACTGATACCTCTTTAAAATGCCATATAAGCTGTAGCACATTCTCACTTTTGAAGGAGATGTTGCAACAAAAGCTCCAATATCCAGGGATTCAGTGCTGCTGAGGAGGAGGATTTACCTGTAAAGTATCTAAGGAGAGAAGAAAACAGACTTGTAAGACGGGCAGTGATTTGCATGTTCCCTCTGGACTTGTTTTTCCCCTCGCAGCACCCCGAGCTCCAGCTGGAAATGGAACTGAACAAATAACACCACGATAAGCAATTCAATTTCCAAGTACCACAAATTTTCCTGCTTACAAATCATTTTGCAAGCAGGTAGCACATTTCTCATATGGAAATGAGTCAGTACTTCGCCTTTTTCTTTTTGTAGGTAAAATCTCTTTTGCCTTAAAATACCCAAAGTTGATGGTGTGCAGTCAGCCCTCGAGCACGGGCACCATGATCCCGAAGCTCCCGGCAGCACCCACACGCAGAGCCTGAGCCCAGGCTGCAGGATGCGCCTTTTGCACTGAATAGTTACATGTAAAAATAGCTGTTTGTAGGAATCATAGTGGTAATTTCAGACACAAATGTTTGTGAACACAGACAAGGAAGGAGAGGGAGCGCAGGAGCTCGGGGACGAAGTATTGTCACCCCGGACCACACAGGAGAGGGACAATGAGGCAGCAGAGGCACAGGGCTGCGGATCAGTCCGTGCTGAAACTCGTCGGGGAAAAGCAGGAAATTCTCTGAGGCTTTCTAGCTCCCTGGGTAAAAGCCTTTGAAGAATGGGTTTCTTTTCCTCCTTCTTCTTTGTACCTGGAACTTAAAAGCCGAGGGACCCACCTCAGCAAACCAGAACAAAAGTGTCAGAAACTCTATCTTGGGACACCTTGAAGGCACAAGGCTCCTTACTCCATCCACTAGATTCACAACTGAGCGATCGTCAGTTCAGTGGTGTTTCTTCTCTTTCACCCTGCTGCCCGGTATCTTGCGAAAAGCCCTCACAGAAACAAGGCTGTGGCATCCCATCACACTGCAGCATTGCTGGAGGTATCAGGACCTTGTGTTCATGGGGATTGCCTTTCCACGCCTGCCTGCCTCTCCGAGGAGCATCATCACATCCCGTGCTTAGGCGCTGGACCAACTCCTTCTGGCTACATTTACCACCCAGGGACTTCTCACCTGGAGAAATCTTTCATCCAGGGATCACTTGGCAAGTTTTAATTGGGTATCACAGCATCCATCCCAGGTAGATATTATCATCATCTCCATTTTGTTGCTGGAGGCAGTCAAGCCCAAACTGGGGAGGTGACCTGCCCAGTGTCACGAAACAGAGCCGGCTGCAGCCGTCCCAGCCTGCGGGCTCCCTGCTACCTCCAGACTGCTGGCTGTGCAGGACATGGGGAGAGAACCGCACGCAGGCAGGGTGCTCTCCATCTCAGGAAAGTCAGGGGATGAAGCCTTTGGTGTTCTTGGAAAGCAGGACCTGTTTTGAAATCGCTCTCTCTTCAAATCAGGGGTTTTCATGCTACAGCAAATGGAGCTGTGTGAGTTTCATCATCTGACAGTTACACCCAAGGTATGTTTAAAAGACAAACTAGATCCGACTCAGCACAAAAAAAGGCATCTCTGGGAGATCACAAGCCTTGCGGGTTCAAAGGGAAGACGAAGCCGTGTGTACCTGCTGTGCAGCACCAGGGCAGGCGATTCGTGTGGGAGTTTGTGTCACTCTGCACTGCCGCTCAATGCACACGTGAAATGTATAACGTATTGCAAGTGGTACCTGCCTTGCAACATTAAAGGCAGCAGCGAGATGCTGAGCCTCATGGAAATGCTTCCTGTGACGTGATACAGAAGAAATGAGGATCATTTCCCTTCCCACATTCAGCAAGAGGTCATACACCTGTTACTGACACTGCCATTCTCAGCAGCTAACTTCAAAATACAAGGGCATCATGAGACAAGATGATGCAGTGACAAACACCTCTATTCCCAGCACTAAAAAGAAAGTCTGGAGTTACAAAAACAGAGGCCATACTTAACCAGTTTTCTATACAGCACTTCCTCACACTTGGGCAATAGCTAAAGCCCAGATTGTTTAGAAAAGCATTCCCACAGACCAGAAGCACATGCATTCAGATCATGCTCATATACCTGATATTTAGTAAATCATTTAACTTGTTCTGTGCCTCAATTTTCCCCAGCTGCAATAATGAGCCAGCTCACACAGGCACTGGGAGCGAGCTAATGACTGAAGTGGCTGGTTCTGTACCAGTACTGGGCTGGGGATTAGCAACTTGTGAAGCTCTTTGAGGTCTGTCAGCATAACCTTATTTCAAAATCAGTTTTCCCTTTCGAATCAGATCCCTCTGACCTGTGTGCCGTGCAGCCCCGCCGCTCCCTAGCCCAGCTGCAGCATCTCCAGGACCGGAGGCTCACCAGGTCAAAACGCTCCACTGGGGCTTTAGTTTGTGAAATCCGCAGCCAAGCTCACCTCTACGTGAGGAGCTGAGTATCAGCAACGCCAGTCAGGGCCTTTTGGATTTGCTGAATTAGAAGTAGCAGGATGAATCTGAACTAAGCAGCCCTCTCATGGGGAAAAAAAAAGCTCCCAGGAGAGCCTGGCAGCTAAAGGAAAGAGCAAACAAACTTCAAGGGGACATAGTGTAGCAACCAAGCCTCAATGACCGAGGGGTTTCAGGGAGCAGACTAAGATTTTTTTTTTCTCCTTTCCCCCATGTAGACACATCTACATTCTCTCCAGTAACTCACCCTGCCAGGACCGTGCTCAGGGCTTTGGTCTCTCTCCCACCATCCCCAGCTCCCTGGGCAACGCTAACCCGCTTGGCAGCTCATTTTCCCAAAAGCCCCCGGCACTCACAGCATTTCTTACTTGAGAACAAGTCTGCCAGTAGCACAGCACGGATGTTCACCCTCTCGCTCCCCCAGATTCAGCTGTGTCTTTGCCACGAGGCTCCTGATCAGAGGCCACCAGCACTGGTGGGTCTGGCTGCACCTCCCAGCTTTTGGGAACAGCCTTTCCCCAGCCCTGCTGCAGGCTCCTCAGCTCACCCTCCACTCACACAGCTTGCAGAGCTCACACGGGTCCAGCTAGGAAACAATAATAATAAGAGCAGATAGCAAAGATGGACACAAGAAGAGAAAAAGACCTCATGCTCATCAAGAGGATTCTGAGCAGTCACTAACAGCCCAATGTCCTCTCCCTCCCCTTCCGCAGTCACTAACAGCCCAATGTCCTCTCCCCCCCCTTCCCTTGACTGAATCAATCCAAACACAGCTCTACAGAGAGAAATACAGCTTGTGTCCTGCCCTTTATAGCCTCCTGGGGCAGGGTGACCCCAGCTGAGCCCTGTCCCACTCATCAGGCAGGGCCCGGAGGGAGGGGGCCAAGCACCTGGGCAGCCGGCAGTTTGGGCACCAGCATCTAACCCTTTCCTTGTCAGCCTGTGTAATGCGTCGGCCCATCGCTGTATGAACGAGCATCGCTGGGGCATGTTTCTGCTGAAAACCTTGTCCTCCATGGTCAAGAGTGGGAGCTGAGCCTGCCCAAGTCCCTGCCATGGGGATGAGCAGGGCTAGAGCCGTCTCACTGAGGAAAAGGCGACGTCCTGCCCCTGTGCCAAGGGCAGGTGTCTCCTATGGCCTAACCCAGGAAACCTCAGAAGGGGCAACCAGTGCAGTGACACCGACGTGACATTTCTATTCCCAGCTGCAAAGCTCTGTGTGGGGCTCAGGTCCGTGCCTTGCCCGACCACTCCTCCGCTCAGGCATGATGGCACCGACTGCCTCCCGCTCGCGTTGTGGCTATTCAGCGCCTGGTGCCCAGAAACCTTGTTGTGAAAACCCCGTCTCTGCTCCAGCAGTTTATTTCTCTGCCCCGTAGCTCGGATGAACCGTCGACACGAGGCTGTGCGAAGCAGCACGTAGCGCTTCCCAGTGGGGCCAGGCACCTGCATGCACCCGTCTTGGTTTGGAAGGGTCCCACAGCTCCTGCCCATGGTGGCAGCGGACACAGGGGGTCGGCGTGCTCGTGCGCCGGGGCGTTGGGCTGTTGGCTGCGTGCCGTGCCGACCCGCAATGGTCTCATGCTTCCTTCTTGTCTGCAGGCTGGCTCAGGTGCTCCGATCACCTGCTGCTTGCGGGAGCAGGAAAGCAGCAACTGAAGATCGAGGGGGACTTTTGGTTTACTCAGATGACAAGAGACAATTTTGGTTCCCCAAAAGCCAAGGAAACAAAGCTGTCAGGCTTTAATGGTAGCTTGTCTCCCTCCTGCAGCATGTTTATGGGCAAACAAGCTGCAGATCAGACCAGGCAAACAGCAGCAGGTGAGGCCAAATAACAATAATTAATAATTAATGGCGAATGTGGCTATGTTTATTCTTGTTGTACTGAGGCAACGTTGTCTAATGGATGAAGCACTGTTACAGGACTCAAGAGACCGGCTCAGTTTCCAGTGCTGCCGCTAACCTCTGCATGATGCTGAGCCAGCCACCCGTTCTGTTTCTCCCTTCGCACTCTTTGTGCCCTGCTGCTGAGGGTGCAAGCTCCCCGCGACACGGGCGGCCCTGTCCCATGCCTGCACGTGCCGAATGTGACGGGGCTTTGCCTTGGCTGAGGCCTCGAGGCAGAAGAGCAATGCCAATATTCATGTTCTGTTACGGATGCCCGGTGCCTGCACGGTTTGCTTGTGGCACGGAGCAGGGCTCACCTGACTGCCCTGGGCATTAACCTTCACAGCGGTAGGCTCTGGGTTACAGCTCTCCGGGGGATTTGTTTCTGACAGTAGCATCGTTCCTAAAAAAGCCAGTACGTGTTTCAAAAGTGTCGTGGTGTCTCTGTGTCATCACCCTGCTGTGCATCAACATCCATCCGTGCCTTCCCACCGCCCTGCCCTGCACCTCCCCGCACGCTGCTGGTGCATGTGGGATGACTCGCAAACACGCTGGAGCTGTATCGGACCGATCTCCAGCCCGGTGTTCCATAGGCTCCGGTGTTAACTCACACTGGTGCCAGCTGGGTTTGCCTCCTCCCCAGATGCCATGTTTCATGGACACGTGTGGCGAGGCACGATTCCCCTCTCTCCTGCATGGTCGTTCAGTCCCTCGTGTGTACGCAGGTCCCCAGCCACGCATGCAGCTTGAATGCACGCCACCGCACGATTTCAGGCTTGTACAAATACGCGAGTATATAAATTATGCAGAGCTCTTCGTGGACAGACAAAGTGTTTGATACTACAAGCAACACCAGCTCGCCAGGGGTGTCTGGTTTGGGGGTGGCCCTTGCTGCAGCAGAACCCCCATCCGCTGGGTACCTGGACCTGAAGTGACACACGCCTTGGCAGTAACACATGGATATTTGTAAAACACGCTCTGACTTTTTATTTTAAGGGTGTCCCCTAGAGACAAATATAACCTGTTCTGGGACTGTGGAAGAAAGCTTTGAAGCTGCCGCTTCCTGGAAATAGCTCTGGTTTCCCACGTCGCATGGTGGTGGTCCCGTGTTTGTTCTTCCCTGAACATCCCTCAACCAGCTACAGTCGTGGCAAACGCCAACACCGCAGTGGCTGACGCCAGCAGGGCACCAATGCATCTTGCCCTTCAGTCCCCTGATTTTGTCCAGGTTTCACACTGAGAGGAAACTTAATGTACCTTAGCTCCTTTCCATTCATCTTTTGGTCTTAAAATATTAGCCATTTTTATGTAACACGTGCTACTTTTTTATGGCCGTATTAACAAGTTGTTGAGCTGTATTTACAATATGCTGATTGTAAGCGCCCCCTAATAGGTCCAGTCTACGTACCCTCCCCAAGTAATTTTCGTGTTTTCTGTTTCATTTTGGGCATGTGTATTTCCTTTACAAAACCTGCATCTCGCTCTGGTATTCGTTGCTGCGTTGCTTGCAGGAACCATCTGAATGTGCACTGTGGAACAGTCATTACCGAGGAACCACAAAGAATGCCAGGGCTAAAATGATCTGGAGCGATGGCATTTGCAGTCCTCTTTGGATTCTTTCAAAACCTGTTTTTTTTTCCAGAGTTAAATTGGTTATTAATTTCAGAACATAAAAGCCAAAGAGATTTGGCACGTTTCAGCCACAGTTTTAACCTATAAACCTTTATTGCGTCTAAGAACGTTTCTTACTGGAATGACGTATGGGAAAACCATGCCCACTTCACCCCGGGTGTGATGATGCCATGGGCCCGATGCGATGCTGCAGTCACCATTGCCTGTCTAACCTCTTGCCTTAACTGACTTTTGTCCATTAAGTAAAAGGAAGTCTGTGCCGGATTAATTGGGTTTGATCTTCTCAAGCTTCCTTTGAGCCAGGGGTGATGAAAGTTTAGGGCTGCGGCTTGTTGCGGAGCTAATCCCAAAGCTGAAGTGAAAGAAAGTCTTTCCAGTGGTTCCTGTGGGCGCATACTGGCAAACACGGCTCTGGGTCACCCCAGCATCGCCCGGGTTTTATGCAGGGCACGAAGGTCGGAGCTCAGCCCTGCTCATCCTGCCTGGTGGGAGGCAGCCGTGTGCCTGCGCAGAGCTGGGCTGCAGCTGCGATCCCGTCCCAAAGCCGGGAGAGGAATGGCACCCAGGCCAGCGTGAGGACCCAGCCCTTCGCCCTGCCACCCCACCTCCACGGAGTGCCCAGAGGAGGCAGGGAGGGGAAGCTGGTCACAGGTCCAGACAGCGATGCTGCGAACAGTCCTTAGCCTTCCAGGAGACCAGCCCAAAACCTTGGGTTTAATTACAGTAGAGCTGGGAGGCGTGGGAAAGCAGGCGAGAGCAGAGTCCAAGCTTCTTTCTTTTTTTTTTTTCCTCATTTAGTTTAGTTTCATCACCCCACCTCTCTTCTTTTATCGAGGAAAATACAAACCTAACTGAGATACCCCAGCCAGCCATGCTGATGTCTGCGGATGGCAGTGCACGGGTGCTGGGGGATAGAAAGCTGCCAGGAGAGTCACCGAGCGGCTTCCCTGGCTCTGGAGTCTCTCAGCCATGGTCTCCTCTCTCCCTTCCTTGTCTCCCAGTGCCCATCCCCTCGAAGGCCAATGGCACCACCATTTCCACCCTGTCAATGAACAAAGATGGCCTGATCGGAGGGGTGACGAATCCCAACGAGGTCTTCTGCTCCGTGCCTGGCCGCCTCTCTCTTCTCAGCTCCACCTCCAAGTACAAGGTGACCGTCGGGGAGGTGCAGAGAAGGCTCTCACCCCCCGAGTGTCTCAACGCCTCTCTCCTCGGTGGAGTCCTCCGCAGGTAAGCTGCTCCCGAGAGCCCTGGGACAGCCCAAGGACGCAGGGCTGTGCTGTGCGCTGAAATGCAGGGGGTAATGCCAAAGCAGGTTTTGTGTTCAGCACCAGTTCTTACCTCTCAGATTAACGGAGACGAGAAATTACTGGTGTGTGGTATATTGGGGAATAGCATTTTTGTTGCTTTTTCTTCTTTCCTTTCAAACCTAAAAGCTTAAACTGGAATTAGTTATAGTTATTTTAACATTAATTACATTATAATTTTTTTCCTCTCCTTCTTTTCTCTTTTCAGAGCAAAATCAAAAAATGGGGGTCGGTGTTTAAGGGAAAGGTTAGAGAAAATCGGACTAAATCTACCTGCAGGAAGGCGCAAAGCTGCCAACGTCACCCTGCTGACATCCCTCGTGGAAGGTAAGAGTTGCTCTCCACTCCCGCGGAGGATGGGAGTGCCAAAACTTCAATACCCTTCATTTGCAGCTTTCCACAAACGAGAACACTTAAAACAAAGTATGCAGCGGTCAGCGCCAACTGAGACTGGAAATATCCCCGTGTAAGTCTCCATGCTGATTCAAGCATGTCTTCTGAAACTCAGACATTTCTGTCGGACCAGTCATAGCCCTTTAGGAAAAGGCATCCACAGCCTGAACGGGGCTGCGAGCTTCCTTTCGGCAGTGTCTAAGTGTACCGTTCACTTCTGCGAACTAGTTCTAATAATGCTAAGTCAGAAACCAAATACAAAAAAGTCTTGAATAAAGCTGCCAAGAATTTAGCAGCTGTTCTGTAGCACTGCGCGCCTGCTTAGGACACAGCTCAAGTGCTGCCGACTGTGCTGCCCTCCGGCAGCATCGACCTGTTCTGTCGAGGCTCCATCACCACACTCATGTCCGTGTCTTGTCCCCCGTAAGAAGGAGATGCCCCGTATCTGAGTCCTGCCCTCCTCCCCTGGGGCAGCAGGGGACAAGTGAGACATCGAGGAGATGCCGCACAGCTCTGAGGTCTTGCAGGTGGAGGTAAAGTTTGTAGCAGCAGTCCTCGGAGCGTGGTATTAAAGGCTAAGCTATGGAAAATGTGCTATGGGCAGCACAGCGTGCGACCTGCCCTGACGTGTGAGGTGCCCCTGCTTAAAGCCGCTTGTTTGTTTGCTCCCCTCCTACTTTTTGCACTATGGAAATGATGATGTCACCACTGCATCTTTGGAGAAAAGGACACGGGACGCAAACAAATGCAATGACAGCTCCGACTCCCTTCGAGCTTTGGAATCCATTGTGTTTGCGCCCAGCGTGTTGGAGGCAGCTGCCTGCAGTTTCTGAATAGAAAATCATCTCCATTGTTGCCAGCAAATTAAATGACCCGCTTCATTAGGCGGAGGTTGTTACTGGGGGCAGTTGGTTCGTGCTGAATGAAATGCTGATTTCCATTAAAAGAAAAGAAAGAAAAGAATGAAAGAAAGGAAGGAAGGAAGAAATGTACATTTTGATTTCAGGTGGCTGCTGATGTTTTGGTTACCGCTTACCAGCTCATAGTAAATAAAAGAGTGGTGCCATGTGTGCTTGATGGATATAATTTCCTCCTGCACATAAGTGTTATGGTACTGGGAGATGTTTCACCCAGAGGAAGGTGCTATTGCATTGTCATTACTCAGTACACAGAAACTGGCTTGTGCCCCTACGCCCCAGGCACCCTCTTTCTTGGACATTTGCTCTCTTGGTTTAATTTGTTTTCTCCCCTCTGCCTTCCCAAAGTCTGTTCATTTAGAAAAAACACTGGGTGTTTTTTTGAGTGCTAATGGTATACTTTTTCTTACACTGACCCACGGCCATTCATATAGATGGGGGAGAATGGGTACCGGGGAACCCAGGGAGCACTACGAGGGCTGCAGGGGGAAACACAGCTTCCTTTGGGAGCCCTTGCCATGTACATCAAGCACTTGCCCTCTCTTGGGCACCTGCTCCACGGGAGTAGCTCCAGCATGGACCCAGGGGAGCAGTAGGGCTATATTTCAACTTCAGAAACATCCTTAAGCTCTCAGAAAGAGGTCTGCCTTCAGACAGGCTCCTGTGGCCCCTCTGCCTGCCGTGGCCTCCTGCCCCACGAGCGCTCTCCTCCAGCCTCTCCTCCCCTGGGCTCTGACTTGGTGTGGCTTTAACACCACTTTCAAAAGCTGGACCGCCTTGTCCCCTCTGCCGAAACCTCTCTAAGCCAGCATCCAAATTGCCTTTAAAACATTCAGCTGTGTAGCCACTCGCACACACTCATGGAGGAAATAAATCCTGGCTCCAGGCTTGGCTCTCGCTGCGAGGTCACATAGCCTTTTTTTATTGTCACAATAACTGTTTTTCAGCAGCTATTACTTTCTGATTGTTTTTTAACATACAAAGAACCGCAGTTCCGATTCTCTAGGTTTACCTTATCGGCTCCTCCTTTAGAGGAGATAAAGTGGAAAGTATTATTGTTACGCAGGAAGCACAGACACTTTCCCATAACATGGCTTCACAGACTGAGCTCCGGGAGCTGGGAGACTGTGATGGGATCTAGGTTAATGCTATTAGGATGGATGGCCTAATATGTATGAGCAGCAGGGGGGCAAGTCAAATTAGCTCTGCCTGCCCAACCAGGATTTCGGGTGTTGGGCATGATCAATTGCCATCAGCTCTGATTATTTCCACGGGGATGCCTGGAGATAGATCAATTCCATCAATGGGTGGGCATTTCCACAGGGTGATGGATACGCTGCCTGCGCGTCCAGCCCGAGGGCCCCTGCTCACTGCGGGAAGATGTAAACCCCTTCCTTCTGCCCGTTTCTCACATCCCCGTTTTGTCTAGCAGTCATGGGGCTAAGGTCGCTTTTTCACCCTCCAGCCCCTGTTTAAATCTCTGCTCAATTTGGAGAGGCCAAGCAGGAAATTTTGGAAGAAGTAGGGAGAGAAAGATGCAGCAAGGGACGCCTCCAAGTGAGAAACACCTCTGCCACCCAGAGAGCTCTTGGGTGGCAAATGAGAAAGTGCTCCAGTCCCGGCAGAAATAAGCCACATCAGTGGGATGGCTGAATTTGCTACAGAAAGTGCTCCCCTTTCACGTGGGTGTTGACACAGCTTGTTAATCTGTCCTGCTTGTAGGCGAAGCCGTTCACCTGGCTCGGGATTTTGGGTACGTGTGCGAAACGGAGTTCCCAGCCAAGGCGGCAGCAGAATACCTCTGCCGACAGCACTCCGACCCCACGGAGCTCCACACCAGGAAAAACATGCTGCTGGCTACCAAGTGAGTACAGATGGCTATGAGCCACCGCTGCGTTAGGTACCCGCAGGCCGGAAGGGCAGCGTTAGCCCTGAAAGCTTACTCTTCTGCAGCAAAGAGATGGTCTCATACGCTGCATGCAGATCTGAAAGACGTGCAGCAAGACGAATAATTTGCATGGATTTAAGGGCTTGCTCCTACATGGGAGACGTTAACCTAACTCCAGGGAGCATTTCGGTACTGCCACACGTGCCCCTTCAAAGCAGCAGCATCTGCACCAGCTCCAACTCCGCACGCAGGGGCTTTCCCCAGGCTGGGGCTGAAAACTCCTGGGGGGGAGGCAGCTGCTTGGGCAAGGAGCAGGAAAAGAGACCTCAAACATACCTATGTCCCTGCAGCTTTCCAAGAGCATTTATGGTAACACAAACCTCTCTCTTTCAGGCAAATTTGTAAAGAGTTTGCAGACTTGATAGCCCAGGATCGCTCGCCGCTGGGGAATAGCCGCCCCTCACTCATCTTAGAGCCCGGCGTCCAGAGCTGTTTGACTCATTTCAGCTTGATAACCCACGGCTTTGGGGGCCCAGCCATCTGTGCAGCGCTCACAGCCTTCCAGAACTACCTGGTGGAGTCCCTTAAGGGGCTGGATAAAATGTTCATGAACAGCACAGGGAACGGGCACACAGCCGGAGACTCCAAAGCGTCAGAAAAAGAAGTGAAGCATCGGAAATAACGCGCTGTCTCCCTCCCTCTCTCCGGTGGGAGCTTTCCCTGGTCACAATAGGAAGGCTTAACAGCACTGGGGGGGGAAAGAGGACCCAGTGCACCGTTTTCTGAACTGCTACATTTGAACTTGGGATGAAACTCGTAAAGCAAACAAAGAAAAGACAAAAAAGAAGATTTAAAGAATTTAAGAAGAAAACAACTCTAATGGACGTAGTGAGATTGAGAAATAAGACAGGTTGATGGCTTTTGGGTTTTGCCTTTTTTTTTTTTTTTTTAAATCGTGGATGCAGGAAGCCAAGTCATGTGCAATTTTATTTTGTTTCGTTTTTTAAAAACCCATAGTGAAATCCTGACATGCTCCAGGAATTTGTTCCAACTGAAAAACTGAGAAGAGCGAGCAAAAGCCTCATCAATGCAAGAACCAGAGGCGCGAGCAGCAGAGGGCAGGGAGTTGGATCACTGGCTGTACCTGGATTTATCAGCTGGTTTGACAGGCAAACACAGAGGAAACCTTCCTATTTCCCCACCTACAGCCCAGTCCTCAAGCCAGGCCAAGAGAAAATTGCCAGCAGAACTGCTTTGGATTATAAAGCAGTTTCAGACTTCGTTTACAGTTTTCAAACTGAGACTCAACGTGGATTTTTCCCTGGGGCTGAGGATCCCTGAGCCGTACCACGAGGGGAGGAACAAACCGCACACGCGATGGTTCCCAGGGCAGGAACCGCTCGAGGAGAGCCTTCCTGACTGCTATGGTCACAGCTGGGGATAAAGCAGGTTAAGTTAAACCCAGGACTAATTAAAACTCCACAACCTACAGATAACAGCACACAAGTTTCTAAAATTAATAATAATTAATAAAGCACAAGGAGCAGAACTTGAACTAGGCCAAACTGAACTGTTCTAAATCTGTATATATTTATTTATGTGTAATTAAAATCTGAAAGTTTTAAAATGTCCAGTGCAAGTTATTTATATCAAATTGAGTTGGGTTTTTTTGTTTTGCCCCCCCTTTTTTTTTTTCCCCTGAAAGATGAAAGTCTTTGGATTTTCTGCCATTAGAAATGGGAATGAAGTTTTGGATACACAAAACCGTAGCATGGACAAGATAGGCTGTGATGATAATGACTATAGAAGTTCTGCAGGATTTTGTACTTGCTGTTGTTTCTCTTAATGCTGCAATAGATGTACAACACCCACACCACAATGTCATTCTCATTATCTTAATAAACCTCTTTTTATTTGAAGAAAGCACCTCCATCGTCTTTGTGAACAAGGACCCTTCTGCCTCTGTGGTTGTATCTTGAAATATTATATAGTTTTAAGAAACAATATCCTCCAGTTTCATGGCCAACGTTTGACTGATCTGTGCAGTCACAAACAGAGAGTTCAGAGAATGACAGGAGCTGGCGTTAATGCCCTGATCTCACAAGCCATCGCAGCCGAGCCGGCCGGCGCCTCTGGTGATGCCGGAGATGAATAGTGAAACGATGCGTTTGCAGATGTTTCAGAACCACTCAGGATAGTCAAATCTAAACCTGTCTGTGAAGAGCTGCAGAAGGACCTCATGGTATCAAGACAATGAGTGATAAATTAGCAGATAAAATAACCCTACTAATCTATATGCAATGAAGCTCTCTAAATTAGCTGCTATGTTTGTGGCATTATTAAGGATAGAACTCGGAAAACAGCCACCTCCTACTCGCAGGAGGCTGGAAATACAAACAAAATGATGGGAACTGTTAAAAAAGGATTAACAAACCAGAAAATGGATTATAGTGCATGACATACATGTGCTTGCATGGTATTCCTCTATCTTGAATGCCACTTGCAGATCTGGCCAGCCCAACTGGTAAAGCCACGGAGAAAAGCAGCCAGGGAGATCTCAGGTGGGAACTGACTCCTGTGCGAGGAAAGACCAAGGGATTAGAGCTGCACCACTTGTAAAGGACACAAGCGGTGTATGACAGAGGCGTGGAGAACAACGGTATAAACAAATACAAACAGGGAATGATGACACTAAAACTAGAGGCAGGACGCCAAATGAAATAGTCAGGAAGCAGGTTTAAATAAATGAACAGAAGACAAGTAAGAAGCCGTGGCATTTCATGGAAGCAGACGCGTAAATGGCTTTTGACACAGTGGAAGAGGGATGATTTTAGAGAGCATGTCTGCAGTGTTCCCTACACATCCATTCCTCATCACGGCTAGAGACTAGGCAGATGGACGTGGGTCTGAGTCATTACAGCACTTGTAATATCGGACCTTTCTCAGAGTTGTACCCATCAGCTTTGCCTGGAGGTTGCAGAATAGGCTGATGATGATAGAGAAAAAAAACCCTGTCCCAAAAGGGACCACAGGAGGTTAGAAATACAAACCTTTCTCCCTTTCAGAAAAGTGTGAAAGGAAACATTTTATGTACTAATATAATCTGTGGGGATGGCTCAGAGTCAGAAACCTGCATCTAAATACTCCCTTCAAAAGCTTAGGGATGCATTTAAATTGGGAATCAGATTGGAAGTGTCCCTTGCTATGAAGTTTGTGAAAGCAAAGACCTAAATGACGGGCTCCGCAGGTCTGGTTTTGCTCTGGACCTTCCCAAAGGAAGAGCCAGGGAACAAGGAGGAGCCAGGGAGCGGAATGGAAATACTAGAGACACATTAGAGGCTTGTTTACACTTCAAAGCTATTTTGGATAATGCAGGGTGTGAGCCAAAAGCACAAAAACTATTCCTATTTAAAATTATTCCAAAATAGGAGTGCCCTGTTCTGCATCAGCATAATCCATGTTTAAAATGGATTATGATAAAGGAGAGTAAGGTGCTTTTTTGCTACAATACAGGTTTCTCTACATGGAGTTATTTAGGATAACTATCCTGAAATAATTCAATTTGTAGACATCCTCTGGTGCATGATATCAGAGAAGAGCAAACTACACTCCGATACATGATGAAAGTATATGTGTGCACACTATAATATACAGGCATGAAATATAATTTCATAATGTAATCGTATTATGAAAACCTGACTTGGTTAGGGCACTCTTTGAATATCAAGGAATTTTTAGACATAGCAGCAATGAGCAATACAGACAAAGAATCAGGATATGCCTACAGTAATTACATGCCACGTCCATCGGGTGGAAAAATACCTCCCTCATTTTCCTCTTTGGGTAACTGCAAGGCTTTTGAATGTTTTATGAGGAACAGTCTGGTGCCTGAAAGGCCAGGATGCCACCAATTACCTTTTAATTGGGAGGAAGTTTGATGATTTGGATTCACTTGTTGATTCCGCCACAGATGCTCAAGACTGATGATGGATGTGTCATGTAGGATCAACTTTCTAAAAGCATTGAGACTTCCACTTCCCAAAATTTTGGGCACCTTCATTTCTGCAGGCCCACAGAGATACCTGAGAAGAGCACAGCTTTCAGAGGTTGTACCAGGCCAATTATTGTTTGTAATGAGTTAGTACTGGAGCTCCCCTCCCAGCTCACTGTCAAACAAGGCCATGCCCTGATGTGTTCTTTGCCTTTCCATCCTAAGAGGAAAAAAAGGCATTTTACACAGTTCATGGCTCAACCCTGATATAAATTCCCACACTGATTACAAATGTTATCGTGGGAAAATACATGGGATTGTGTCAAAGAGTAAAAATAGATTCAGGCTCATGGTTTCTACGCTTGTTATAGAACACTCTGGAATTTCAATCCTAAAGGGGAATTGAAAAAAAAAATCTTTTTTGAATTAATTTTGAATGAATGACAAGTCTAGGGAAACCACATGACAATCCTTGACAAGTGAAAAAGAACATTAACAAAAACTCTTCATTCCCTAACAGTCAGCTATCCCAAGGGTAAACTGAGGTTAACATTGAACTGTGACTCTATACTGTATCATTAACGTAAACAAGCAGAGGTTGTGTTGGCATTCTGCATCGCTTTGGATAGACTAAATCATTACCTTTAAGCAGGCTACCTTAAAAGCAACAGGGTAATAATAGCTCTCCATACTAAAACAACACAATAAACAGACTTTGCTGACATGTAGTTAATGCATTCTTTCATATATGAGAGAGTCTATTAAATTCCAAACTTTACATACAGAATCCAGGGAGCCACACCATCAGCGAGCAAAGGAAGTTTTTCCTGTTAGTGCAACTGAATCAAAACACCAGAACCAAAAACATTTTCAAATCAGGCAGTAAAACAACTGTTATTTGCAAGGGTGAAAAAATGCTTGCTTCAGAGGTTATTGATTTAGCAGCCTAGACAGATAGCGCAGTGTCACGTGCAGCATACAACTATAGGCTTAATTATCCTAACAGACTTTGGGAGAAACAGTCTAAACCCAGTCATTACACAGAATCTGACCATGCTGAGCCAGAAGGTATCATTTGGGTCTTCCCGCCTGACCTCCTTTATATTGCAAAGAATTCCCATTGTGGCCACCTGAGCATTGCTGCATTTTCAACAGGATACCATAAATAGCAATAATAATTCCAGACATTGAATATGCACCCAAGCTTTGGCCCCATACTCGCAGTGCTGAAGCATCCCAGCAACCTCTCTGAGGCAGACAGGCAGCAAAAGTTATGCCAGTGTTATTCTGGATGGCTTCTTTGTATATTTTTATCTTGACACCTTCAGATGCTTCTCTTTTGATTCTTTTCAGCAGAGAAAAAGGCTAAATTTATACCCTGAAATTCAGAAGTATTTCCCATAAGGATAGCTTCATTTTGGTAGCAAAGGTTATAGTCAAAGATGATTTGTTAAATGGAGACAACTCAAGTTTTTTTGGGTGTGAAATGAGTTCAGAGAAAGACCAAGCTATTGCTCCCAGTCAAGAAGTTCTGCAGCATGTCAAGATGTGTCTGGATGCTACAGCCTTCTCACCTGATGAGTCGTCTGTCCATGCAGAAGTGCCTTGGGTTCCCCTCGAGTTTTTCCACTGTACCTTAAACTGGCTAAAGAATCCCCAAGAGGCAGCATTTTCTTGGTGTGACTGAATGA